AGATTCATTAATCACAGGTAAAGAATAACTCGTGTAACAAAAACTCAAGAGCAGTTAAAGGTTATCTTACCCTTTTAAAGATGATAATGATAATATGTACTTTTTATTAGTCTTTGGGTAAAGATAAATGGTTATCTTGGACCCACACTTAACATGACAACACAACAAATACATGGCCCACAGTAGACATGTTTGTTGTGTTGACATTTTACATCAGGACACGGGAGACATAATTATCTGCCAACGCTTGACACACAGAAAAACTGTTTGAAATCACTAGAGAATTGGACAAGCCAAGTTCTGTGGTAAATCAAAAAAGGAAGAGACACTAGTCAATGTAGATTAGACCAAGAAGAGTAAACCGAAAGAGAGAGATGACTAAAAAGAGTGAAAAACAAAGGAAAACAGACAGAAAAAGGCAAGCTTGGGGAGAGTGAGAGACTGCTGCGAGATGTTACGGGTGAGGGAGGTGAGCGGAAGATGAGCAGTGACTCTGACAGAGGAAAGGGAGGGGGTGAAGAAAGTGAGGGATTGATGGATGGTGACAATATAGCCAATGGACTGGGACAGTGCTGCAGTGGGGTCCAGCTTGCGTTGGGGACCACATCCCTGCCTAGCCCTGTCCTCTGCAGTTGCAACTAAGGTTGGGCGATATAGCCAAGAAAACATTTCATATAATTTGATATCGATAATTATCACGATAAATGTCAAATCGTTATTTCTTTCAAGTTTAAAGGCTGATTTTTGCTCCTGAGTGAAAATTGAAGAAACCAGATGGTTAATTATGTGGTTAAACTTTTCTTTATGATCAGAATGTGACAAACACTTGATGCCAAACAGTGGATCACTTCACAAGTCTAAGTTAGAACATTCAAAACTATTATCTTTTCCAACAAATACGATTAGTTAATCTTTCAGGCCTCTTTTCCTCAACAAAAGAAATACTTTAATAGAAAAATTAAGTGATAATTTGTTCGTGATTCAAATGAATTAAAGCAAATATTTATTGACGATATATTGAACATTAAATTGTTTTTAAGGAAAATTATATTGCAATAATTATCATTATTGTTTTATTGCCCAGCCCTAATTGCAACATGGAATCCTGTCCTAATCTATTCCTAGATCATGCTTTTGCACTAATTACTAACTTACCTCCACCTCAAGGGCCCCTGCTATCATTTAATTTCATTTGCCAGCTCTGTGGCATTCCTCCACCATTTCTTAAAGGCACAGTCTATCACCTAAGTGTCAGATTTAGAACCTGCTATAAGTACAAAATATATCTGCAGGTATTTTTATTTATGGATTAACACTAGACAAAATATATATGTCAGTTTATGTTTTTTTTGATCAGTGAAGATTCTAAAGTAGTTAATCAGTCCTGTATTTTCAATTATATTTATTTGAGTGACACATAAGTGCTCATATTTAATCTGAGAGTCTTCAGTTATATGTTTGACTCCAATTTATGTGGTCAAAAATGACTTGAATAAAGTGTTTGATTATCGCCCGCCACCTTCCCACTCTTCCTCCACCACATTGTTGCTGAAGTGATTGCAGTGGTACATACTGTATGGCCCATAAACTGCACATTGTATGGTCACACAATAGCCTGAGTCTACCATGTAAGAACTTAAAAATAAGCTAATTACCATACCATTTTCAAGAATGTTACTTCAAGTGGTACTAAAACATAACAATAGTGGAATCAGGAATATTGTCTACCGAAGAGTGACAACAAACAGGTAGTTCAGGCATTTAAAGAGTCATTGCATTTTTTTCAACTTAGCCAGCAGGTACCATGCAGATGCACCAGTGACTTCTGCCACCAAGACAAGTGAGTTAAATGGAGCTCAGAAAACTGAGAAATGACATTTAGAAAATTCAGTAACAATTTCCTGTTTGCTCTACAGACCCCCTGTGGACAGTGATTACTACTTTTTAAACCTTCAATACAAAATTGTTTCCTATGAAATCTGTTGATCAATTATTATGTGCAGTTTTTCTGGAAAGATATGCTGTTGAGTTGTTGTTGAGTTTTTCCGAACACATACATTACAGTTCATAAATTGTACCAGTGTGGTGGCAGAAAAACTCAGTGGTTATCTCAAAACCTGGGCAAAACTTAAATTTATCTGCATGGTAAAGTTAAGTTAAATTAAGGTTAAAGTAAAGTTAAGTTAAAGTAAAGTTAAAGTTAGGCAAACAATTTCTGTGTTCTGTGTTTCTCACACCAAAAGATAACTGGTCAGCAGTTTTAAAATTAACTTTGTGATTTGCAAGTGTGCAGAATGACAGAGATTAAAGAAAACACAAGAAACACAATAAATCAACCTGGTGCAACTGATATTTTGTACAGTAGCTAAAATTTTTGCTGCTGAGTACAAATAATAAAACAATACAAAATGCACAAAATATTAATAACATTAATACTTAAATTATTATCATAACCTTCACATTTGCTCAGGCCAGGGTCCTCAGCAGCTGCTTACTGTGCTTTTGCGTTGCTTGCAGGCTATGCCAGGAGCCTAGAATAACAGACACAATCTTTGTCAGAATGTTTAATATTGAATCCTGCTGCATCCTGGTGAGAGCAGAGAGCTGGTTGCTGCTGCAGAAGGTCTGCGTGTATTTTCCAAGGCTACCTCAGCTGTCTCAAACCCAACACGTCGGTCTCAACCAGTATCCATCACTCATATTCACCCATTCGTCATCTCACAAATGTCCTTTAGCATTTGGAGGAAGTATTAGTGAAGAGGCTGGATAAGGTATATTATATGTGGGGGGAAATGAGGTGAAGAGAGAAAAAGAAATTAGTTGTATGGCAATACTAAAGTAAAGACCATGCATAGGTCAACCATTGTCCTACATTATAGAACAGGGAAAATGATACTATACAACTAATTTTTAGTAACGCTGTCAACTTATTGACATCTGATTGTATCAGATCTTTCATCATCATTATGTTGGCATTTATGTTTTACTATCAATAGAAAATCAATAGAGCATTGTCTGATTCTACTTATATAAGCAGATACCTGGCAGCATGATACAAAGAAAATAAAATTGTGTGTGTTTTCTTACAGCAAAGGGGATTTTTTTTTATTTTTTAAATAGGACAAAAGAGACTCAAAGAGCTTGTTTGCTGCTCTATGTACAATTTATTTTATTTTTTTCACTGTGGAGAGCTGGGAATGGGCTTTATTGATTGTCCTCATCCAGACTGATCAACCCTAACCGAGCATCAAAGAGGAACACAGGAAACACTGAGATTTTGCCCTTAGGTCTTGTAGCTTGCTGTGTTGTAGTTACTGGGCTTGATAAACTGTGCTTGTCAGTACATTTGGCTACTTAAAGTGCTCCAGGGTGTCCAAGTCCTGCTACCTGGGGCGTGTTTATGATACAAACAGTAGGAAATGATATTCAAGAAAAGGGAATTTTCTGGCCAGGAAAGGATCAGTTGTGGAAATGTGAATCTATTTAGGTTGTTGTGGTTAGCTTTCAATCTGAGCTTCCCACTGAGTGGAGAGAATACTTTCTACTAGTGGACCACAGCCTTGTCAGAGAGAACAAGGAGGAATGAAAGGGTCTTCAGGTCCAAGGAAGAGAAACGAATGAATATGTATATGCAAAGGAAAAAGAAAAAAGAAAGAGAGTTAAAAAAAAAAAAAAAAAAAAAAAAAAAGCAGACATGGCTATGCAGGTTGCATTGTTACCGAAAGTGAAATGAATAATGCTGAGGAAACAGGAATCCAAATGAAAACAAATGTTCCTATTCAAACATATGCACAGCTAATGCACACATACACACACACATATATATATAAAATAAGCTATGACAGCCTATTTTGTAGCTTGTGTCTCTTTCTCACCCACCTGTAAATTCTAGTTGCTTTGTCTGAATTGAATCCACCACATAATGTATATCTCTAACAGTGCCACAGTGACAGGACAGCAAGCAGCAACACAAAGCAGTTTGTGCATTGTGTGTTTTTTTACTTCTCACACTGGTTTCTGTAGTTTATTTAGTTTTTTTGCCATCATACTTGAAGGACAAGCAGTGCTGTCTCTGAACACAAGTTTTACTGTGAGCAGGAACTCAGTTAAGATAACCCCTTAAAATTAAATTGCCACTGAATGAGTTTGTCGACCAGTGAGGCCTTGCTAGGACAAGTGATGACAGCATTAAAATGAGAGAAGAAGAAGGAGGGAAAAACTGAAATCAGGGAAAACGGTGAGGGCTTCTACAATGCCTGAACTGCCACCTGACAGGAAGCCTTACGCAACAGAGGACCAATACACAATTTGCAACATGATGGCTCGGAGGACACATATTAAAGCAAACACAAGTGAACACAAGTGTTTACCTTTATCAGTATGTTTAAGGTATAGTCACTGATATTGCTGTACAGTAATTTATAGTTAATTAGAGGTATGTCTTTGCTGTTCTCCTTCCAGTAGTAAACACCTCTTACCAAACATTATAACCACAAAAACACTATACAAATCTTAATCTTAACAAATCTTTGCTCTCCACTTGTTAAATTTGATTATTTGCTATCAGCATTGACACTGGACCAGTGACGCTGCACTACGACCATTCAGAAAATGCCATTTACACTTTTCCTTTTCGCACAACGTTTTTTTTTTTTTGAATCAGACAATTAAAGGTGATGTCTTAGTTATGGCTATTACAGCGTGTACTGCAAATGAGCTGTTGCTGTGAATTTGCCTTCATCAACACCCCATCGCTCAGTCAAGCACACTCACACACACACACACACACACACACAAGTAAACATCTGCTTGAATCATGCCGTGCTGCAAATCTTTTTTTCTGTCCTCTAATTTTACTGATCTCATCTACACACAAAGTAATCACCTAACATGAAACAACTGAAATGTGTTTGGCTAGACTGAAACTGCAATGCCAATATAATCAGCTAACCAGATAATTGTGGCATTACAGTATTCTATGTCTGTGTGTGCTTCATCAGGTGCAGGTGATGTCGTGGAGTGTGGGTTTAGGCGGCAGGATGACATTTGCCAAGCTCCTCCTTCCCTTCGTCATTCTTCACTCTTTCTGTGAAGGTAAGTCCTCTTGACAATAATGAATGATTGTGTAAATCCACGTGGTGATGGTGAAGGGTTCAGAAGATAACTTTTATAACAATAACTGGAATATTTGCTGAAATTGTCAATGGCATATAGCAGTGGTTGGCAATAGGCGGCCCACAGGCCAAAGCTGGCCCGCCAGCAATAATGTCTGACCCGTGGCCAGATTACTTTAATAGCGGTAAAAAACATTAGGCTATAGCGGCTGGTGCTCAAACAGATCTTAGTCATGACAGCAAAAGTTACTCACATAATCACTTCCTCTTAAATGATTGTGCCTACAAATTGATTGAACACAACCCTTTGAACTCACTAGTGCACTACTGACTGAGCTAAATAGGCACACAGTAAAAAAATGGATTATAAATGCTAAATGTTCTGGCCCGCCATCTAATGACTTGAAAAAAAAATTCCGATGCCAGACTTATTGTCGTCACCTGGCATATAGTATGCAAATATTCCAAAACATGTGTGTGAACACTTCCTGGCTCCATGGCACTCATATTGACGAGTAGCCAAGAGGCATGATGACAAACATTTTTGCGGGGGGGCAGTGGTGTGTGTTGTGTACTAACCTCTCATCCCGCTGTTAGACGGCATTCCAGCTGCCGCCGAGCACTGGAGGGTCAACTTTGAGAAGATCTAGTTGTGGCGAGAGGGACTGGGGTCTTGGCGAGGCCATTGCCGTGGAGAGCGAGCCCTACAAGGGATTTCAATTCAGTCCCATTCTTTTTAATTTATATAGCGCCAGCAGCTAACACAATATCCACACAGAAATAGAGACAGTACAAGTAGTAGAGGTACAGACTGAAAATGAATGATGGTACTGATAGTTATAGTACAGGGATGAGATTTCGTAGGGCAACCAGCACCTTCTGCTGACGTACGAACTTGGGGGCTTGGTGGGAGAGGCTTAGCGTCTGTTGAACTGTTGCCTTCTGCAGCTTTAAATATAGGCCTACCTTCCAGGCTACAGAAAGGTAATCTAAGATTTGACAGCAAAATATTAATATCTCTCACACTTTCTTCTCAGTTCTTTATAAATAACTGCCTGAAAAGCTTTTCTGTCGTTTACCTTCGACTCGTGATGTATTCCCTTCCCTTTCCTTGACTTAGACAACTTTTCTTTTCAGCCCTGTACGTAGAATGAGAGAGAGAGAGAGAGAGAGGGAGGGAGAGAGAGAGAGAGAGGTGGATATAGTGAGAGAGCTTCAGTGTTGTGGAAAGTCACGTTAACTGTCTTCCAATCACACACAGAGCTGATGCAGCGGGTAAAGTTATTAAGTGGATGCCACAACCTCTTTACATCAAGCACATTGACTTTATCAGGGCGTTTTTTTATGTCTCTGAAGTCCTCCAGCCACTCGCCTCTTGTGAGGTGAGAGGCGAGAGGCTGGAGGACCTTGTGTTTGCTTTCTTGCTCCCTCCTCTCCCTTGCTTTCTCTAACTCACCCATTAGCACACTGACCCTGTGCTCCTCTTGAGCATTACCTCCCTGATCCAGCAAATTGGATTGATGATCATTGCTGTGATTATTATGTGGCTGTGATTTATCTGCATTCCACTATCCAAGCCTGACACAGTGCTTTGTAGTAATTAAGCCACAGGTGTAGACGGGAGCTTGTTAACCCTCTTCTTCACCACCCCCTATCAAGTGAATCACGCTCCGTGTTCTTGGCACCCACTAAGAGCCATGCTGGCACACCCGAGATAAGCATCTTCTTCCGCACAGTCAGGCACATGACTGAAAGAAAAGCTCCCACTTTCAAAGCACTGATTCACTCTATCAAGCGCTCTCACTTCCAACAGGCTAGCCTCCCCTTCTCTCGCTTCAGTGTCTCTGTGGTCTGCCGCCCAGCTCATCTGATCAAAGACCTTCAGCTTTGTTCCCTGATCTTCCCAACAAAACAGCTTGCATCGCAGTGCCTTCTCCACAAAACCCGGGCCAAACATGACATACTATTAACCCTAAAACAGCCCCTAAAAGTGTGGTGTTGTAATGGAAGGATACTTTCTTTTATACAGAGAAATCAATATGAGGTAAATGTAATCATGGTGCAGTTGTTATGATTGAAAATACACACATGCTTCAAACATCGACAGATAATGAGTATTAAACATTTTAAAGATGTTTTTATCACACCACTCAGATTTAAAGCTTTAACTTATGAAAAGTAAGATTTTCACAGATATAAAAAGCCTTAATGTTCAGACTGATGACATGCAGGGGTAAAAATTGACCATGGTGTTTAATGGTTTTCATGGACCCTCAAGGTATGAATGACTGCCTAAAGACAGACCATGTAAACATGTTATTCAAGTTAAAGCATGAAGATAATGAGCAGCATAATGCTCTGTGTGTAATTGATGTTCTCTGCTTACACAGCTTTATATTGACAGCTAAGTGCTTCTGAAAGTGGTTGTCTGTAACTCTCTTCTTGATGTGACTAGAGGTATGTCTGACAGTTAATACAAATACAGCATTTGAAAACTGCCAAAAATCTAAAGTGGATAGAAGACATATAAAGTCGACCAAGAGAAACTACTACAGAGTAGAAGAACAGTAAAACACATCATCCTGCAAACTGGCATTCAGGTATAAGGCTGCTGTACAAAAACAATATCCTTGGATGAATTAATGAATGATTTTTGTGAATGGTGGAGAACTACAAAAACTTGTAACCGAAGGCAGTAGTTTAACCTTGAGGGAAGGAGGTGATCCCCATCATCACCACCTGATGTGAGTAGATATGTTTTAGACAGGCTGCTGTATGTGGTCTTATAATGGTTCTTCTCATTTGGTCCATTTTTATATTTGATACTAAGGCTATTAGAGATGCTTTCACCCAGTGACCTATTTTACATTTCAATACCCGTCTTTCACTACATAGGCTGCGCTATGTATGCACCAGCTTGAACAGCTGACAGTAGTGGAATTAAAGAGTTGCTTGTGTGGCCAAAAAGCAAGGACCAATGGTACCAATGAAAAATGGAAGGAATGTATTCTCATCTAATAAAGTTTACCTACCCAGCTTACATAAGCTAATTTCCCAATCACCCATTTAAATGATATTGAGGCTTAAAGTTAAGCATAATTAAGGAGGCAGGAGTTACGTCCATGACAGAAATGCTTGGGAAGCTATACAGTGCATTCTGGGATGGGGTCGGAGGACACACAATTTCTCTTGATGAACCTCTGTTGTTACTTAAATGTTGACTTTTTTGCCTTTGAAAACTCCCAAGCATGTTGCAGGGTTTGTTTGTTTTTTTTAACAAAAGCAGCTATGGTCTCCTCAAAAATTCAGCAAAAGTCCCCAGATGTCATAAACAGTCTACACTGAATACATTTGCCTCCAGACTCTTGTACAGTGTCATACACTGAATATATTTGCTGCAGTCCCCTTGTGGAGGATGGAGCCATACTTGCATTTTGGAAGCAGTTTGGAAACAGTCAGTTTAATGTATGAATTAAACAGTAGAACAAGAGTGTGTGCACTGGAATCAGTTGCACGAATCTTTTCAGTGTAAGTGCTCATTGCAGTGGTGTTTTACACCTATACTTCCAAAAGATCACTTGACAAATGCTGTAGTACAGTACACAACTCTACTGTAATAATTCCTGTGCACAAAAGGATGTGTAAAACCAGCCAGACACCAATAACCTTTGTAAAAGCTTTCAGTCTAGTAGTACTGTAAGTAGCAAATCAGCTAGTAAGCTTGTAGGTAAGTATTAGCCTGTACTTTAAATCAATGTCCACAGTTTGGTATAATGTAGATTATTTATGTGGAAACAGTTTATCACTTGAAAAACATAATCAATAGATAGTTGTTGGACATGATTTGAATTACCATTCTTCCTTTTCTCTGTCACAGGCTCCAACCAGCCACCACGCTTTGAGAACTACTTCTTCTCGACCTACCTTCTCATCTATGAAGATACGCCTGTCGGTAAGTTTCTGATAGCAGTCTTTCTGGATTGCTTTGTCAACTTGTTTACTGCACAGAAATGGTCTGTCCTCTGTAACTCTTGAATATAAACCGAGAAAGAGTAAACAAAAAGTAAAGAGAGATGTCACATAAGACACTAACAGTGATAGAAATGGATGTCTTCTATCAGGATGCGTCTGTGTTTTTCTATGTGTGTGTTTGTGATGAGAAGGAAACTCCAGAGCCTGTTCACCTGTTCAACTGTGTGAGTCTCTCTGCTATACAGCAGACACAAAAGACACCTGGGATGCTTTGGATATTTCACATCTTGTGTTGATGTCTGGATGAAAGAGTTTGCCCAGATTTGATATCTCCATGTTATTATAAGCTGGCTCATATGTTGTGTCCCACTGCTGTTTGGGGCGGTTGCCAGTTACACTCTGAACACAAGAGTCCAATTTCTCCTGGATCTATTATTGCCCTTCTTATTTATTTTTTGTCTTTTTTGTCCTTTTTGTGGTTGCAGTGATTGACAGGACAATTTGGAGATGTCTGACTTTTCACCGTCTCTGAATCCTTTTATATTGGATTGATTTTCTAGAAGTTTGGGGTTTTTTTCTTATCACACGACCTTTACACTCTGCCAGTCTGTCAACACTCCTAGTCTGAGTCACAGAGCGTTCGCTTATCCATGTCTACACCTTCAGAGTTGCTTTATGTGGGCATTTACATGTCGCAGGCACAGACAACATGTAATTTGTGATTTTTCTTTCCCCCCCTTTTCTTTCTTGGGTTCATCAAAGTTCTAGTACGCCACCAAGCCTCCATCATTATCATTATCCCACTTACCATTGCCTTCAGCAACATCTCCATCATCATCATCTTAGTTGCGTGTTCTGTACCATAGCCAGGAAGGTTACAACATCCCGGTGAGCCTACAGTAAATCCTCATCATCATTACCATGACCCCAAACACCATTATCCTCATAGTTGCCTGCTTTGGCATCTTTGTCCAACAGTACTAAGTAGTTTCTGGCAGAAGGCCACCTCTTCACTCAGTCAGCTTGTGTTCTAACCAGTGAAGGGCATGGATGTGTTGCTGGGTGGCGTTGCTAATTTCCCTAACCACTCTGTCCAGGTTGCCCTCTGGCCATGAATCATTGTGTCCTCTCCTCAGACAGCTGGGCTTTGGTCCAGCAACACCTTCCACTGGTCCAGAGAGCTGTCAGTCATGTCCCTGGCTCGGTCTCTGATGGCTTCTTCAGTGGTGTGATTACGAGGGTGGGCTGAGCGATCGGACAGTGACAATTTGTCAAGATTATTGTTTATTAGCTCAGCAGATGTCCTCGTCTAGGAGGCCCTCCAATTCATAAACACATGAACACACAGGCACACACACAAGCCATTGAGTCAAATGTTTGTGTGTGTGTGTGTGGGGAAAAGGATCTTATGCTATTCTCCACAATGTCACATCCTCTAGTCACATAACACATGCACAAACACCCACGTTTCCTAACACACAATCTCAAGATTACTTATCATCCAGCACACTGGCTTAATCGAGTAGCCTGGCAGCAATTTCAATGCTGACATCGCTCTTACTCTTGATTTGAATAAAGGGTAGATTGAAAATACATATTTTCTCATCTCAAGGTTCAGTGCAAAGATTGTGCAAAGAATAAAGAAATGTTAAATTGGGCTTTCCGCACAGAATGGAGGCAGATTAATCATATTCAAAACTTCATACATTCCACTATAGTTCATTAGGCTATTATTACGACAAATTTGATGAACGTAAATGAGCACCTGTCTGACTGAATTGAAACTGCATAACCTGAACCCAGTGATCAGGTTTCTGCAGCCACTCTGGTCGTACTCAGTTACCATGGAGGTTGTCAGGTTTAGTCTTGGTGATGATGCAACAGTTTAGGGTTCATGTGAGCAGGTTGTGTGAGGTGACACCAAGAACCGGTTGACTGATACATGCACAATAGGACCATTGATTCTGTATTATAGAGATGAGCAGACTTTCTTCAGTTAAAACTGGTCTGCATGCATGCACACACACTCACAACACTATCTGCTCTAGCCTTGTCTATAGGCAACAGATCAGTGACTTTAGCTCATGGTCTCTGAGCCAATAGCCTCAGCTCCGTATGGCAGGCACATGACTATTTATCAGAGAGATGAGGGAACACATCCAAACACCATGGATATTTGATCTGAGACTCCTCTCCTCCTCTCACCAGCAAGGGGTTTGGTTTAGGAACCGGCACAGGGTATTTGAAAGGTGCTGCAGAGATGTGTGCTGTAGAGGCATGCGTAATACAACGGGAGAGGGCCCTCACTCAGTGTGAACTCACACTTCTTACATATATTCTGTCCTTTCACACTCCACCACAGTTTTCGTCACAACACGCTTAATTTGATACATGGATGAGAATGATCCCAAGAGGAATCGTTAGTCCTCACTGGTATGAATCTATCTATTAACTATGAGGGGCCATACAAGCCATAATTCATTTTGGGCATCTTCACATACATATATTTTCATTCTCACATTAATTTATTTTCATTCTTACACCCACACATTTTTATTCTCATATTTATATATTATAACTCATACATTTTATGCTAATTATTTTTACATTTCCACCCACTTCTTCATACATTTTACTCTCTCATCTTCCTATATTTTTAACACCTTCATACATTTTTCGATCTCATATTTAATATTTACGCTCACACAAACTCATAGATTAGCTACATTTATATGAAGTGACATTAAATATCTCCATTTCATTACCACCTACTTGTTTGGATTGTTACAAATACTTTGCTTTAAAAGTACCAAGTAGTCACACAGTGAAAAAAATACATCTTTATCCTATTCGTTTTACAATCGCATCGTAGCACTCGTAATTGTAATGAGGTCCCTAAAAATTCCCACCCATGAGGTGATGCATCGTGATGCATTGCGATGCATCGAGATATCGAATCGTTGACCTGATATTCGTAATCGAATCAAATCGAATCGAATCGTGAGACCAGTGAAGATGCACACCCCTAACATTCATACATTTTACTCTTTCATGTTCATACATTTTTGACACCTTCAATGTCATACTGTATTTAATATTTTTACTCACATTCACACTTTTGCTCTTATATTCATATGTTTAAAATCACACATTCGTACATTTCTCTTCTGCTTAAAGAGGAACTTCCTGTGTCAGTAAACCAAAACCAAAAAAGACAAGACAAAATACATACATGTGAGTGTACACATATAGTTTACAGTCCAATAATTTGTGAAAGTGACAATATGTATGTGAGTAGATTGATTTTAAATGTAAGATATAAAATATATGTATGTGAGAATATGGTATATGTTTATTCATGTGCCGTTGGAATAAAAAAAATTATATAAAAGAGTTAGAATGTATGTCTGTAAGAGTAAATAATACATATATGTGTGGAAGTGTAACAATATGTAAGTGAGAGTGAAAATACATGTATGTATGTGAGTAAAAATGTATACATCTGAAAGGATCATGTATGCATGTGAGAGGGCCAGAATGAATTATGGCTTGTATGGCCCTTCAGTCTGTTGGACGCTATAGTGATACAACCATACCTCAGATGATTTATCTCAATATTTACAAGAGGAATATTTCATGGTGTTTAGAACAAAATCCTCACTCTATTCATGTTCCTTCTCTGCATGTCTGTGCATGCATATGTGTATATCCATTTAGTGTGTGTTTGCATTTCATGGGATTTTTATTGTCACATCCAGGCCGTGGGATCATTCACTCTTAGGAGGGTAACTAACAGAGGAGCTAATGTTTAAATGCAGTTGTAGATAACAGTGTGTGTTGTGTCAGGAAATGGGATGTGTAATTAGAGTGAGAGAACACTTTGATTAAACGCTCTCATCTCCTAATCCACTTTGCCCTGATTCGGCAGATTAAGCTCTCTACTGAGTAATTAACTTGTGGAAAGAACACAACATTTGTTCGAAATAAGAAACTTCTACACACTGTTGGGATGGTTTGCGCATGTTGCATGTAGTTTGTGACAATTGTGCACAGGTGTCATGTCTGATTAAATTTGAAAGTTTGGCTTAGGCTAACGTTATTAAAATATGTGTTAATTTATACAGAATAAGTTATTGTATACATTGAAAATAAATTATTTTTACTGAGAAAGTACAACAGGAAACAAGCATATTCATTACATGAGCAAATTAATTGAAGGTCTCTTTGTCAGACAAAAATTTCAATCATTCTTAGTCCTTCTTATCCATCAGCACACTTGTATCCTTTGTTCCAATAGAAAAGGTCTGTAAAACAAAATGATACTCCTTTTTCCCCTGCATCACACAGTGGAAAAATGAGACATGTATACAAAGCAGCGTAGCTATAAGTTTCAGCATGAGGAGGCAGTATACTGGCTCTTATTTGAGTCCAACATGACCATTTTCTTAAAGTTTATTTTGTATTATATATTTTCTTCTCTCTTAATGCCACAGGGAAACATGGCTCCAGAGGCAGGGCTTGTCAGACAGTGTTTTTAAGCCATTTTTAAAAATGTTCTAATCATGTGTATCAAAAATGTAAATTGTAGCTGTATGCACCAGTACTAGGACGAAGATAAAACAATTAAAATATCCACCTTCTGTCTGAATTTCTTCGCTCTCCTTTTCTTTTTCACTTGCTCTCTCTGCAACCTCACATTCTTATACTGCCACAGTAAATACCTTGCACTTTTAATTAGCTCCGTGGCATTCCTAATTCAATAATAATTAAGGAGAAGGAAGCAGCCCCAAGGAAAGACTTATTAAAGCCTTCCCCTAAACGTGTTGATAATGTCTGTGTACTCTCTCTCCAGCCAGTTCCCCATCGTCATCTACTGTACATTAACTATGGCTTGTCAACATTCCCTCCTCCGGACAGTCTCTCTTTCGCAGTTTTCTGAGTCAGTATACTGACCATGTTAGCTGGAATAGCTCATAAACA